TGCCCTGCACACCCTGCAGGCCCTTGCACGCTCTGCACACCCTGCAGGCCCTTGCACGCCCTGGACAACCCTGCACGCCCTTGCACGCCCTGGACAACCCTGCACGCCCTTGCACGCCCTGCACAACCCTGCACGCCCTTGCATGCCCTGCACACCCTGCAGGCCCTTGCACGCCCTGCACAACCCTGCACACCCTTGCATGCCCTGCACAACCCTGCACGCCCTTGCACGCCCTTGCACGCCCCTCCACACCCCTGCCCTTGGCAGGTTGGGGTTGCTACAAGGCCACCTAGAGTCTCAGGCCCTTGTAAACGGGGGGACGGGGCCTGGGGTCCTGAGGATGCCTGAGGGTGGGCTACTACCTCCTCTGCACCTTCCTCCCTACCCCCCATCAGCTCCCCGTGCAGGTGGGACGCAGGGCCTGTGCCCGCCCCTGCCCAGCCCTTCCAGCTGGAAGAGAATGGAATCCTGCAGCAGCTGAGCCGAGCTCACACTCCACCCGGGAGAGAGAGGCCTCAGAGTGACGCCGGTGCCTCCCTTTGTTCCTGAGGGAGGGACGTGGGGCTGGAGGGCCGCAGGGTGGCCAGGCTGGCTGCCCCCTCGCCTCCCCGCCGCCCGCCAGCAGGGAGATCACTCAGGCCCTGATAGGATCGCCGCGGGACAGGCGGAAATTGGAGTGTCCCGGTGCTTGATCGCACCAGCGCCAGCCACAGCCGCAGGGACATTAGAAGCCAGTGTAATGGCTGCATTCAGCTCCCCTGGCAGCCCCGTGACCTTGGGCGGCTCGGAGCCCATTGCTGTTTTAATGAAAAATCAGGAGTTAGGGAATGGCCGGGGCCTGGAGGGCAGCGACGGGGAGAGCTCTGTGCACGCCGCCTCCGTCCATCTGTCCACGCTGGCTGCAGGCCGCCCTGCCCCCTGCACAGGCTATGCTGGCCCCTCATGGTGGGCCTGGGGACCCCGGAAAGACAAAGAGATCCCCATCCTTGGGGGATCCCCGGTCCAACCTGTGATGCAGAGCTCGGGGGAGATGCTGGGGGCCTCGGGGGAGATGTGGGAGGTGGGGGGCCCCAATGAATAACTGCTAAGGGGCGAGGGGAGGAGCCCTCATGGGTTTGTCATCACTGTGCCAGGACAAAGGGACACTCGGTTCAGGCTGGGCCAAGGTACCCACTCCACCACCCACTCACAGGCCTCAGCTTCCCCATCTCGAATAGCTCCGCCCCCACCCGGCTCCCCCAGTGAGAACTGACCCCTTTGATGAAGCACCTGCTGTGTGTCCCCACTGTGCCCACAGCACCCCGTGACCCTGGGCTGTCATTCACCCCATTTCAGACGAGGCAACTGAAGTGACCACCCAAGGTTGCACAGCAAGGGTGGGCGAGCCGCTGGGGGCGGCCCCTCTGCCTGGGGCTGTGCCACTCCTCCAAGCTGTTTTCTGGTGGGCCAGACTCCAGCCTCTCGCTCCCAGGCCACAGCCCTGCTCCCTCACTTCCCACCCCAAAACCTCGCTGGCTCCTCTGGGCTGACAGCTTTCCCCAATGGGCGCCTGGGGGCCTAACCCAGCAGAGGCCCCCGGCCCTTGGCTATTTGCAGCCACCTCCAGGCCCACATAGAATTCAAATGCCAAAATCAGAGACTGAGCCCAAGCCTCTCTCCTGGGAACCCTCCCTTCTCCTGGGGGCCTGGAGGGAAGGCCCACCAGGCGGCCACCCCCTCACAAACATGCACAAGGCGCAGCGACCCCAGGCTGACCCTGGCATGGCCGAGTGGGGGTTCCTAGCCCAGCCTTGAACAGGGCAGGGCCCCTGGCCGCCACCATTAGCCAGCTCTGCCCCCCAGGAGCTGATGGAAGTGGGGTCCCAGAGAGGGCCCACTGCAAGTGGGCTGGCCCACCACTCTCTCCCACTGGGCTGGGGGTAGAGGTGCAGACAGCATCAGGGCAGAGCCGGGAGATGAGGCCCTGGACTCAGGTTGGGGGATGGGTGGAGAGGCCAGGGAGGGGTTTTAGATAGGATGTGCCCCCCAGACCCAGGATTCTGTCTTCCCTGGGCTGGGCCTCCCCAAGACTGAAGGCTTTCTTGGGGATCCTCCCTCCCACTGCAGTCCAGGGCTGGTGGAGGGGGCCAGCTACCTGCAGGAAATCTGCCCGCAACCCTGGCCTTGGCCCTCTCTTGCTACCTCTGTGTTCTTGGCTCTCTCCCCCTCGGCATCTCCTGGGAACCAGGAAGGAGGGTGCTCTTAGAGCTTTCACCCACTCCAAGCAGGGCTCAGGAGGGCTTTTCCCCTGCCAGCTCACGACCCCCTTGTTACCCCCCCACTTGCTGAGTGGCTTCCTCGGGGGCAGGCAGCTCTGCTCTGAGGTCAGGGAGAGAGAGAACCAAATGCCCAGTGAAGGCGGCCCACAGGTAGGGGCCTCCCCTGGGGCCAGCACTCACTAAGGGCCACGTGTCTGTCCACACTCTATCCTCACGGCAGCCCCGGGAGGCGGGGGCCATCACCACCCCCATTTTTCAGACCAGAACACAGAGGCACAGAAAGATAAAGCGACTTTCCCAAGGTCACACAGCTCCCAAGTAGAGGGGCCAGGACACAAACCCAGATAAGGAGTTCCAGAATCCATGCCCTAACCATCACTCTGACTGTGGCTTAAACACTTCCCACCTTCCACTTCCTTGTTCTCCTGTTACTCCCCACTCGTTTTCAGAAGGTCATGGAACACTAGTTGCTCTTTCCCAATGGGAACACTGATGCAGGGAGGGTTAGATTGGCGCCCTGCCACCTCCTGGGAACCTCCCTGTCCGCCACAACTCATATTCTGCTTCCCTCCACGTTCCTGCAGGACCCCTCGGCCAACGCAACGTGTGCTGTCACTTCTACAGGGAGGCTTGGACGGTGCGACCCCCGCCCCGACAACGGCACAGCCCTGGAACCATGGCCTTCGTGTTCTCCTCTTCTTTGCTCCTGGCACGTATACAGCAAACTGCATGCAGTAGGTGCTCAAAAATGCTGACCTACTAGACAACTCTGGAGTCACAGAGGGAATGCTCCCTACAGTAGAGTTGGAGAGCGGGTGCCCACCCATTCCAGCTGCTCTGTCCACGTCTCCCCCATAATCTTCAAAAGCCTCGTGGCACCTCTGAGTCAGATGGTCTCTCCACTCACAGGTTAGGAAAACGAGGCTCCAGTAGGTGAAATGACTCGCGCAAGGTCAACAGCCAGCAAGAGGCAGGGCTGGAATTTGAACCTGGCTCTCGACACCGTGTGGCACCAGCTCCGTGATCCCTGGCACGTGGTAGGTGTCCACAACCCCCAGAGGACAGAAAACCCCACTGCAGACTGTTCACACTGCAAACCCAGCCGGCACCTGCCCCCCCGAGGGCGGGTCCTGCCAGGCTGCAAGAGCATCCCGCCCTGGACCCACGCATGATGGCTCAAAGCCCCATGGGATTTTTAATCATCCCCCACGCGGAGCACAGATGTGCTTTATAAAGTGCGTCCTGGGCACCACTGCCTCCACTCAGCAGATGAATGTGGGGTTCTGGCAGTGTCCACCTGGCTATATGTTTGGTCCAGAATGAATCACCCTTGGCGACTTGTGCCACACGCCAGCAGCAACTAATAGAGGCATGTCGTCCCCTTTGCCAGGGGGACACCGCCCACATGGGCCATCTCAGGATCAGAGGGTAGGTGTTCTGGGGAGACGTGGCTGCTGCCACTGCTGCTACTCACAGTGGCAGTGGCGTTGACTCTCCTCCCTGACCTGGCCAGGTGGACTGGGGTCTGAAGCCAGCGAGGGCCGGAGGGCTGGGCTGGGGCTGAGCCTCTCAGGGGAGAGGAAAGAGTGAGCTCCCTGTGGTGGAGGGAAGCTAGAAGACACGGGGAGTATTTATCACCCATCTTATTCTCTGCCTGAGCCTTCTTCCCATTCCAGGGCGCTGCGAATGACGGCCCATGTCCCATCCTGGAGTCACCTGCACCCCTCTGACGACCCCCTTGTCCCCTCCAGGCACGTCGGGGGTCACCTTCAACGCCTTCCCTCTAGGAGCTCCTGTCTGGCCCACCTGCTGAGTTAGACCCCGGAGCCCACACTCAGCTAAAGGCCAGCTCCTGAGTGGCGTCACTTCTCCGAGCCTCAGTTTCCTCATCTGTGAAATGGGTGCCTGTGCCATGAGGTCACGGTATGTCTTCTGTGAGGCGAGAAGGATAAAACAGTGGGTACAGAGCCTGGCTGGGGAAATGCCCCATGACAAGGAGCCGTGAGCATTAAGGTCACCGCTGGGGCCTGGTCCCGTCACCCAGCCATCCTCCAGCCACCCTAGGCCTGCCCCAACCCTCCGACGCAAGCCACTGGCGTTCTCTTCCTAAAGCAGAACACTGCTCACCTCGTTCCTCTGCTCCGAAACGTCTGAGGCCTCTCGTCCACCAAGCCAGTGCCGACTCTCCCCCAGCCTTCGAGGACGGCTGAGAACTGGCATCTGCTGGTTGCTGCTGGTCCACAGGGACCCCGTGTCCCTTGCCCTGTCCAGCCCAGGCTGCTCCCAGCAGGGGAGGCCTCTGTGGAGCTGCGGCCTAGTCGGCCACAGGGTTGTGCACGTGGTTGGGTTGGTTTGTGGTGGCAAGGGCCGTGGGCCAGGGTGCAGGGAGGGCCTGGACATCTCCCTTGAGCAGGACCTCTTGGCTCAGACGCGGCAAGCAGAGAGCCCAGGGTGGTCCTGGAGAGCAGGACCCCGCCACACCGGAGGCTGCACTGGGCTGGACAGAGGCCCAGGGCCCTGGGAACGCCCCGTCACTGCAGCCCTCGGAGCAGGACTTCCGAGGGTCTTTGTCCTGCTTATAAGCTAACGTATGCCAAGATTTTCCCTGCTAAATAATTACCCAAACAGGTTTTCAGGAGAGAGTTGGAGGAGAGGGTCCGAGCTCTGTCTGAAGAGAACACAGAGAGGCGGGGAGGCAGCGTTTGCCCGTCTGCTTTCACCCTGGAAAGCATCTCGGGCCCGTGAATGTCAATTGCAACGTGCTCATGGTGACACGACGATGAAACCAGGGTCGGTGTCGGGGTTCAGTGTCAGATCCCCCAGGGACGCCCATTCCTGCTGCCAAAGGCCTTGTAACTGTGCACACAGCTGTGGGGCACCACACGGGCCGTGAGCACGCACAGCCACAGGGACACCGTCGGCAGGCGGCCAGGGACCCCGGGCATCAGCCCCAGTTCCTGGGACCTCTGGGCTCTGGTGGTGACATCTTCTGCCATCAGTGACAGATGAGAACAGGCAGCATGACGGCCGGCGCTCTGTTCTGAGTTCCCTCGGCCTCCACCCCGGGGGGTTTCGGGGTCCCTGTTTTACGAGGTTGCGGCGATAGCAGGGGAGCTGGGTTTTCTGCTGAGAGTCTTTACTCAGTAAAGTAGGAAGTTAGCTCCACGCTAGACCCACGTGGCTCTCTGGACTGGCTGGGGAGCTGAAGCAAGGTGAGCAGGAGTTAGAGTGGAGAAGCGGCCGGGGTGTGGGGTCTGTGGGGCCAGCGCAGTTGGAGTTGCTAGGAAAGAGCGCACATGGAGGGAAGTTGACGGCCAGGCAAGAGTGGCTCTGAAGCTGTCCTGGCCCCGGATCTGGAGACCAGGCCCCTTGGCCTCGCATCCCCACCCCCAATCGTTCTTCCCGCCGCAGCCAGGGTACGCTGAGCTGAGCTGAGCTTGCCTCCCCCGCTGAAGGCCCGGTGGCTCCACAGCATCCTCGGGGTGAAGTCCAGCCCTCCTCACGGCCCAGGAGGCCAAGCTCTGACCTTGCCCTTCGCAAGCCCCCTCCAGGAAGCCCTCCCTCAGCCCCCAGGGATGGTTAGGTCTCCTCTGTGTGCTCCATGGCAGGCCTCACTCCTCACTGGGGTCCGCTCGCCTCTGCCCCCACCTGAGGCCTTGACTGTGTGGCCAGCCTGACTCGGAGTGGGCCCTGAGACACGGCCACGGAACCATAGAACAGAATGGTCAGCCTACACGGCTAACCGCACACCCTTCAACCTCCTGCCTCTCCTTTTCCTCTCTGCTCTAGTGGTCCAGCTTCCCTTGAATGCCTCCCATGACAGGGAGCTCAGCACCACTGCTCTGATTACTCGCTCCTGGTGCCACTTGTGGGCTGGAACGGGGAGCCAGGGCCCATTGTGGCCAGGGGGCTTTGCCACTTCTTTGCTCCCCAAGATCTGGGCACACGTCCGGCTGCCCATTCACCAGCAGAAGATGGCCGCCTCCGCCAACCAGGCTATCAGACATGCGCTGGGACACGTAGCTCATCGTTTGGACCCATTCGCGTAACCTGGTGGAAATAAAGCATCCATCACCCCAAGAAAAAGTCACACAGGTGTTCCCAAATTCTCTTTCTCCGCCACCCTTGGAGGCCCGCCTGCCATTCATACCCGTCATCCGGAGAAAAATGCCGTCGTTTCTATAATGCACACCCTCTCCATAGAGGCCCTATAAATATGTAGAGATGACATCGCCGGCAGCGCGGTGTGTGAGTGATGTCATCTGGGGGTTGCCTAGCAACCCCACAACGTTTGGTAGACTCTGATTCTTGAGAAGGGTAAAGTCACATTTCTGCAGTTCAGTTAATCAGCTTCCTGGCAACGCCGCCAAGATGATCTCATTTTATTCATGATTATTTTATGTGAAATGCACTTTTAGCTCTAAGAGAACACAAAGATTTAATTCAAAACCTGATATTGCTTTGTGTTTCCAGGGTGTCGTTAACACGGCGTCCATGCAAATAACCATGGTAACACACGGGTAATTAGTGCGTATGGCACCCGGTGTTAACACAGAGCCGGTCGGCTCCCAGTCAGCGCGGATTACGACGCGTTATGACTGGAGTAATTACCTGCAGTAACACGCAAATTGAGCTAAATGGTCAATTGAAGGAAAGTGAATGGCTTTTTATTCTAGTCCCTAAATAATGTGTCTGCTTGGCTGAGTAGTTCAAGGTAAATAAAACTCTCAAATTGATGGCCTCTCCCACCCACCCCCCCTGGGTTGGGGGTGGGCTTCCTTCCAGACAGGTATCCCAGGCACCGTCTGCTGCTCCCCCAGCTTCCCCACCCCTATAAGGGGCAACCCTGTGAGAGGGGGACGCCCGGCCCCCTGTCTCTGCAGAGAGACCCCCGGCCCCGTGTCACTGCAGAGGGGATCCCTGGCCCCGTGTCACTGCAGAGGGGATCCCTGGCCTTGTGTCACTGCAGAGGGACCCCGGGCCCCGTGTCTCTGCACAGGGGACCCCCGGTCCCATATTTATACAGAGCTCTGGCCCTTAGTTAAAAGTCCCGAGGCCTCGCACAGCTGTCTTGCTCATCCCCCAGGGAAGAGGGCACAGAACATTCCAGATAGAGGACAGGGTGAAAAGGCAACAGCCTTCCTCCCAGGGACGTTTCCTTGCCCCTCTGGTAGGTGGGGCAGAATTGCTGGCTTCCTGCTACAGGATGTAAGGGGGGAGGGGGGTCAAAGGTTCCTTCTGCCTTTATTAACAGAGCGTTTCTCACATTCCACAAACTTAGAAGGTCCTCGAACAGGAAGTGGCTGGGCCTCTCGAAGAGCCCTTCCGGGCGCACATTCCAAGTGGGAGCTGTGCTTGCCTTCCCTTCAGAGAGGGGCAGAGAGGGCAGGCGAGAGATGTTCCGAGTCAGCGGGAACGAGGCTTGTGCGGCCAGGTGCCCAGGGTGGAGAGAAAGGGCACAGAATCAGTCTTGTTCCAGTCCCCCAACCCGCCCCCCGTAGACGCAGCGTCGGGGAATGGCGAGGCTTGGCGAGTCTGGGCTCCGATCGCCGAGTGCTGCATTTGATGGATGCGGAGTGGCTCCTCCAGCAGGCCTGGCGCCCAGCGCTGGCCTTCAGGACGATGACCACTGCCCTTCGGGCTGACCGCCCAAGCGCACCAAACGCCACGAAGCCAAAGGACAGGACGCCAGGGGAGCACGCTGGGGCCGACCTGGCTGGGGGCTTGTCTCAGGAGCCACCTTTCTGCTGAAACTGGCAGGGTGAGGGAGGCGAGGGAGGAAGGCCGCGGTCAGGGAGCCCGCGCGGGCCCTGAGTCTCAGAGAAACCGAAAGAAGTCCACTCGATCTTATCAGTATCCTGACATGCCACACACGCAGAGATGCACAAAGACAAATATGCGTAGAGGGAAGAACAGCGCGACAGAAACCCACAGCTGCGTCACGCTGCAGGCTAGCGGGGCGGCCGAGTCTCTGGGGACAGTCGTTCTGATTTCCGGGAAACACTCCACAGGGCTGAGGGTTTCAGGGCGAGGCCACCTCGTCCGCTCTGGACCGGACAAGCCGAGACAGGCGAGGGGGCAAACAGCTCTCCAAAACAAAGGGGTTTTGGGGCCCAAACAGCTTGTGGGCGCATGCTTCCTCACACCCCACTGCTCCAGCCCAAGGCAGGGACAAATGCAACCTAAGAGAGGGGACCCAAAACATACAGCGTGGCTAAAAACAGGACAAAGCTCTCCAGAGATGAGAAACTGAAGGCAGAGGGGGTGGGCCCTGTAGCCTGCTGGGCCGGCGGAGGAGTGGTGGGGGGCGTCTGGCCTCTCGGCACTCTCTCTGGTAAATGGGGACCTGAGTCCAGGTCGGGCCAGGACACAGGTTTGCAAAAGGAGGCAGGAAAAGAGCAGGGTAGCCCGGCCATCAAGGTTGTCATTTAGAAGAGCTGCAACCTATGGGGGTGGGGGCGGAGGTGGCAGAGGAAGGCCAAGGCCACGAGCTCAAAATGCGAAGCCCGGCCAGGCTGGCTTGGGCCTCCAGGACCAGATCTGCTTTCTCCCTGGCGTCGCAACACAGCAGAAACACCACCTCACGATCTGATTCTGGACTAGGGGCCCAGGGGCTGGTACACAAACACAAAACCGGTCAGGGCTGGTCAGGGAGGGAGAAGGGGAGAAAGGCACGTAAACCCAGCAAAACGCTGAGTCCGCCCATTCAGAATGAGCTCGCAAACCAACATTTTAAAATCATAAGGAGAAATGGGAGAAAGAAGACATGAAGTTTGTGTAGCAGTCTGACGAAGATCAAATAAGAGCATGTAGGTTCTGCAAAGACATAAACGAAAACCTAAAATGTACGAAGAATGAACAAGACACCAACACTTTTGAAAATTGTATGAAATGAGACGAAATGGGCAAATCGTTAAGAATAAATAAAATAATTCATTGAAACAGACTCAAGAAGAAATAGAAAACTAACAGAAATAGAAAAACTAAGTAGTCCTATAGCCATTACATGAATTTAATCAGTAAAAACCAAAACAAACAGAAAACTTCCCAGTGAACATCAGGTCTAAATGACGTCACCGGTTTTAGTTCTACCAAATGCTGCAGTAAGAAATATCGCAATTCCAACTTTGCATAAACTCTCCCTGAAAATAAAGAGGGTGCTCCTCAGTTCATTTCGTGAGGGTGGCATAAATTTAAAACCGAACTCCAACAAAGCCATGGGAGAAAGCAAAGGCCAGGACTAGAGCGAGGTGAGTGAGCTGCCAGGGGGCACAAAATTCAAGGATGCGAGTTCAGGGTGAGAGTGGGTGTCCCTGACATTCTTCACCACTGGTGCCTTGCTGACCCCACCCCAGTCCCAGCCTTGGAGAAAGGAGACCATCACTCAAAAATAGAGGCCAAAATAGAACAAGATATTAGCAAATTGAATTCAGCAATAAAAAGGATAGTGCCTAAGGAAAGAGTTGCGTTCATATCAGAAATGCAGATTTGGTTATCACTAGGAAAGCAATCAATATAATTCACCATATTGATACATTAAGGAGAAAAATCAGAAGAGAATCTTACTGCACGTAGCAAAAACATTTGAGAAAAATTAACATCCATTCATGAATAAAACTGAAACGACTCTTAGCAAACCGAGAATTAAGGAAACTTACTTAATCCGTGTGAGGGCATCTAGGGAGGGTCTTGGCAATCATCGGACTTGATGGCAACGCTCTGAAAGCTTTCCCTCTGAAATGAAAAGCAAAGCAAGGATTTCTCCTCTCACCATTTCTGTTCAACACTATACTAGCAGCCCTCACCAGTGCAATGAGGTAAGGAGAAAAAAAGGGTGAAAAGATTGGAAAGGAAGAAACAAAAATGTCATTTTTCACGGATAGCGTGATTGTGGGCGTAGAAGAGCCAAGGCAAACTGTAGATCAAGAATTAGAACTGCTAAGGGTCTAACAAGGCTGTTGGATATAATGTCAACATATGAAATCAGATTCATTTCTATATAATGAAAGCAAATGAATAGAAAATGAAAAATTTTAAACAATACCACCTACAACAACATCAAAAGGTATCAGGCACCCAGAAATAAATCTAGTATAATATGCACTGGAGCTCTAAAGAAAAAAATAATGTAACTGCATTAATAGACATTAATAAAGACCTATACAAATGGGGGACACATAGTGTGGTTTTTTCTGTTTTGTTTCTGTTTTTTATTTTTTTTAATTATTATTATTTTTTTTTTGGTGAGAAGGATTTGCCCTGACCTAACGTGTGTCACCAATCTTCCTCTACTTTATATGTGGGTCACCACCACAGCGTGGCTGTTGAGTGGCGCAGGTCCATGCCTGGGATCCAAAGCCCGTGAACCCTGGGCCACTGAAGCAGAGCGCACCAAAATTAACCACTACACCATGGCGTGGGCCCTACACAGGGTGTTTATGGTTTAGAAAAGTCAACATTATAAAGATGTTAATTCTCCCAAATTGATTATTTTAAAGTCAGGTTTATTGAGGTATAATTATCTATAGTAAAATTCACCCTTTTTTAGTGTCCAGTTCTGTAAATTTTGACAAATTTAAACAGTCTTGGAACTGCCACCACAATCAACACACAGAGCAGATCCATCGTCTCTCAGAATTTCCCAGGTCCCTTTGCAGTAAAACCATCCCCCACCCTCAGTCCCTGGCAACCATGGTCTATTGTTTGTCTCTATATTTGTGCCTTTTCTAGAATGGAATTTAAATGGCATCAAGCGGTATCCAGCATTTTGAGTCCGACTTCTTTTACTTAGTATAATTCATTTGAAATGCGTCCACGTTCTTGCATGTATCAAGAGCTCATTCATTTTTATTGATGAAAAGTACGTCATTAGAGGGCTGTACCATGGTTTGAAGAATACTTGAGCTGCTTCCAGTTTGGGACAATTAAAAATCGAGCTGTTATAAACATTCATGCACAGATATTTGTGTGGTTTCTCTTGGGTAAATACCTAAGAGAGGAATTGCCAGATCAGATCATAAGCATATGTTTCACATTGTAAGACACTGCCAAACCATTTCCCAGAGTGGCTGTACCATTTTGCATTCCCGCCAGTAATGTGTGAGAGTTGCAGCTGCTCTGCGCCCTTGCCAACACTTGGTATTGTCAGTTTTTAAAAAGCCATTGTAATAGTCGGATGGTGGTATTTCATTCAGAACTGACATAAGGACTAATTATATTGAGTATCTTTTTCTGTACTTATTTGGCATCAATA